CAAAAAAAATTTATTGACAGAAAAAGGGCACTCCTTTTTAATGCTTTAAGAAAAGCTTTATAAATTTCATTGAAATCTACCAAGCATTTTTCGACCAATAGTGATCAGCAGTTCGAGGAACATAGTTTTGAGAAAAATGCATTTGATGTTTTTCCACTCCATTCCAAAAGGCCAAAAACCGTTTGATAAATATCGAATGACTCGAAAAGTATTTGTCGAATTTACTTTCAAATTTTCAGAGAATATTTCTTAGATTATACTTTAATTATTTTATGAATATACATACGAACAAAATATAACGAATTTTGTGCGAATGTATATTTATATAATATATGCTTATAGAACCCATATGTAGATATCCACTTAGAAATTTATACAACAAGCAAACTGCAGATAATCTCTTATAAACTACTTGCTTTGCAATTAAATCAAACAACCCGTATGAGAGCAGCTTTCTTACTCATAAACAACAACAATTGTTGTTCATATTTAAAAGCTTATTTTCCAGCTATACAAAATAGCTGGCATGATTATGTAAATTACATCTTCGTAGAGGGCAAATTGGTCAAACAAAAAGCTTAACTGCAAACAGCAAGCAAACTGATGTAAATTTATGTGTGTGCAACTAAAGAAAATCCATAAATAATGAGACAAACAAACACTTGGCATATCATATAACAACAGGATTTACGACCCAAATGTGGCCATCTATATCCTGTGTAGGCCAACTACCACCGTGACCTAAGGCATTCTACAACTGTATTTCTGTAGTTGCATGATTATGCATAGTTGTGTGCATCTATAATCAGCTGGATTGGTTGCAACTGTTGCTGTGGTTTCGCAATCACTCATAAATTTTCGATTAGAAATAAATTTCATATGAATACATGCACACATACATAAATAATTGCTACTAACTAGGGTATCCTGTAGGAAAAAAATACTGTTTTTAGTACATCTATAAATATACTTAAATATATAAAAGTGATCAGCATGATGAGCTGAGTCGATTTAATCATGCTCGGCCGTCTGTATATAACTAGTGCATCAGTATCCCCGATATCGACTTTGCATATGTCTTTTTCTCCCCAAGAAACTAATATGCTATCGTAACCGCCGATGTCGGACCACTATAGCATATAGCTGCCATACAAACTGATCTATTAAAATCAGGTCCTTGTATGAAGTAGTGTAAATATGGAAAGGGTATTTAGCTACGGTGCTACCGTGTTTTTTCTTCTTTTTATATAAAACGAACCACTAACGTTTTTCGAACCGAAGATAGATTATTTGTTATTGTGGGATACCTGTGCGACTTGAATGACTACTCTATATTATTGTTGATATCAAAAGGGCAAATATGGGATTGAATATTTCAAAGAGCACAATAGAGTATTTCTAGATTTTCGAACTTAGCAAAGTACTCAGCTGAATATTACTATATCTGTAAGCTTATATTGCAAAATTAAACGTCATATATTTCCAACAGGGTAACTGTACAACATTAAAGTACAACAGTGAATGCGGTTCGCAGAAATGCGGGCGCGAGAGGGCTCAGTGAAAGTGCACAGAGTATTCATAGAGGAAATTGAGACTATTTAGAGACAAACATACAAACACTTTTATACAAACATTGTAATGTCTATTTATTGATTAACTAGCATTTGTTGCTATCCACAAAGCGCACTCGCCACACACATTCCAGCCACAAACCGTAAAACTTGTTTGCTGCATACACGAGCACTTATATTTGCATGCAAATATGTGCAACTGCAAATCCGTATGCAATTTCCCCACCTCAGGCCCACCTCAGCCATTGATTAATTCTAATTATTAAGAATTTAGCAGAATTTATTGCAAGCAGCTGGCACAACACCTCAACATTCACACGTGCTAATCTGCGTGCAACAACACACCAAGCATATGTGCCACCACACACTGCTGCAGTTGTGCATGTGTTCGAATACGATTATTGAATATTTATAAGTCAATTAAAAGCACTGCCTGCCCCTCCTCCGGTTTCCGCCGCGGCTTTGGAGGAGGGTTGTTGACTGCCACAACCACTGAAATGTGGTGAACCAGGAAAACCACAGAAATTATTATCTGTAATCCTTTTGCAATGTGTGTGAGTATGAGTGCGTTTTCCATAACTCTGCTATACATATGTATGTGTGTGTGCGCCATGTGGTCCATTGCACTTTGAGCAACCATCATCACATCGCCGCAGGCATAATTTATGAGTAAGCGCCTTCTGCTGTGCGTGCTGCGAAAATGTTGCACAAACTGAAACAGGAAATTTGAAAATTAATAAAGCGTATGCAAATATTATTGCTAATGCAGCGTACTTCCATGTTTAGGTTGGATTCGGTTGAGATTTCGTAATTGTTTTCTAATCGGCTTGGTAATCTAATAAAATACAATTTTTTTATTTGCTGCAAATATACATATACCTGTTTAATAGCAGGCTGGCTTGTAACTGAGTAAGATTATTTCAAGCAAGTGAACAAGAGCATAGATATTGTGAGTAATTAGCAAATTATAGTGCGCATAAGATTCATACAAGTATATCTAGTCCTATCAATTTAGAAAGCTTAAAAAAGCTTTTTATAGCCGAATGGAGTGGATGGGTTTAACATCAACCGACAAGGGTTTCGACAGCTCTTTAGAAACGTTTTTCACACATTTTAGTTTTTTTTTGAATATTTATACTACATTCTAGATCAAAAGCTAGATCACTGCCGAAGCATAATCAGAATAAATATTTCATATTCTCTTTTGAATCTAAAAACTGTGCATAGAGCGAATGGTTCAAGTCGTACGAACTGTGATAACTCTTAGCGACTGAATAATTGAAATAATGTAATTCGCAGCAAATCAAAATGTTTCAGGAAGAGATGTCGTACAGAAATTTCATGTTTCTGAAAGCACAAATATGAAGCCGCAAGTCTGTCAAAACCGGGTAAAATCAGGTTAATACTTCCCCTATCCCCCTTATACCCAATAAAAAGATTTTCGAATACCCGTTTGAATTTATACCGCTTATATTGGTAAATATATTAGTTCTCTTAATGAAATTCAGAGAGCGTCTCTTTCAAATAACAGTCCCTGTTTAAAGTGTTTAACATGGTGTTATCACTCCCTGGTGTTATAAATCCCAAATACGAGTACATAATATTGAAATTAGCAAAATATCGTTTTGACTTTATATCATAAATCGCCGTATAACATAGGAAGTACTATGATTTGCAGACGAAAATGAGTGAAATCGGTCCAAGAATTACCACAGCTCCCATATACTATACATAATGATTTTCGCCAAATAATTAATTTTGAAGTAATTTGAAACTTTTTTAATCAAGTGCCTTACCAGCATTTCCGCGATAAAATGTACTTAAGCCTCCCCTCCAAATTTAATAGAAATTGTTTACTTTTTTTGTAATATAAAGAGGAAGTTTTCGGTTAAAAAAAAACCTAATTTTTCTAAAACTTTATTTAAAAATTTAAACCTATCATCTAACATCTAGTAAACAGTAGTAAATTTTATGAAACAAATTAAATCCAATATGTAATCATCGTTTAGTGGGTTAACGTGATTTTATCTCCATTTAACATAACAAAAACAAAATTGGAAATTTTCTAACGACGCATTTTTTACAGAGTGAAAATAGTTATTATTTTCGTATCAGTGTTTCTCGAGCAGAAAAACATAACCTCAATTAAGACCTAAAACCGGAGAATTCCTAGTACTCAGTCTTACAAATTAATATATTTATTTCCAACTATGAACCTTTAACTTATCCTTAGTACTTAGTAATTATAATTGTCTTCGATTCGTGATTGCTCTGCTCGCTATCTTTGAGCAGTTGTCGGAAAAGTTTCGGTTAAAACAACAACACTTTGTAGAGAGTTGTATAAAAGGGAGTATGCCGATATCTTACTAAAGTGGTATAACCTCTATCTTAAATGCTACCAAGTTTCATAGTACACATTGTAGACCAGTTTTGCCATTGTGAATGGCTCAAATGCAAAATTAGTGTCAAAAATGCAAATCTTTCTTTACTGCTTTTAAAAAATCAGAGTACATCATCGCATAATATTGCGGAGTAAGTACAACTGATATAATTTGTTTGAGTCGCTACTTTTCGAACCGAATACAGCTTTTGTACAAGTATATGCGGATGATATCGAATTGCTGTCCGAACTACTATTTTGTAATCAATTTCTGACCAGCAATTAAACCAATAAAATTAATTGTAGATTTCTGCACTTAAAGAACTCTCGCAAAAAGTAATAAAACAAATACTACATATTGTTACTATGGCAGTTATGCCGCTATTTGAGCCCACATGCTGTGACCGCGAGCATTCCTGTTGACTTTTATATGACAAAATGTGATTACATTAAGGAGCTCCACGGTGAATAACCACTTGACAAAGCGGCGAAAAGAAGCTGAATTCTATGAAAAATATTACCGGCTCCTTTACTGGTAATTTTTAACTCGTTTACTAAACTCCCGTACACTTGACATGCACTGTCGCGAGTATGTGTATGTGTTAGCCTGAAAGCCTTTAGTGCGCAGAAATTTTGATTTTAGCTACACGAGCAGCTCATAACGCTGACTACAACAGTATATGTGTGTATGTGTAGCTGCATTGCGCCGCCATTAGTGGCAGCAACAACTTATGCCATCCACTTTTTGCCACAGTCACATGCAACTATGTAATGCAATTTGCTGCATGCAACATGCCATAAGTGCTTATGTGTGCCTTACAAGTCGCTCACCCCCCGCTGCGCTAAGTAAACGAGCTCTGCTAGCTTGTGCCAAACTTTGCACGCTCTTACCTTTTTGGGGAATTCTATCATCTTTAGATTTAAGTATCTACTTTGTCTACGAGTTACACCACACTTCAACTCTTCAGCAACTTCCTTTGCGGCTTCCACAATTTTGTTTATTCATTTTTTTGCTACAGCACATGTGTATGCGTGTCTGTCTAAAGAAGTTTAAAATTGCATTGGCTCGATTTATTATGCCCAGCGACAATGCGATTATTAACATACAATAACATACATTTTCTAGACTGCTGAAATTATATTTAAAAATAAATATACAACTATACATCACTCTTAATTTTTGTATGGGAATCTTATACTCGTATAGTGTTCCGTAACCATTATTTTTTTTTTATAAATTAATTAATATATATATATAATTGTTATATAATGATCTTCCAGGTCTAAATACTTTTAAGATTTTTATAGTTTGGCCTTAGATTTTGAAAAGCGCTTATGCTATATTCAATACGAGTACGAATTTTGGATATTGAAGGGATCTCTTTGACGTAACTGTATAAATTTATTTTCCAAGCTGAGTATCCATAGAAGTTAGTTATTGTTCCGATTCACACATTTTTGATCAAAGTTGTAGTCCTTACTTATCACTCCTGTGAATATAATATAAAATATAGCGATATGAAACAACAAAGTTCAGCAAATTCTTAACTTCAAAAATATTTGATGTATCACACAAAAAATTCTTGACAAAACTTTTTTCAATTTTCATTTTATTTGCGTTATTTATACTGCTTGCCGCAAGCAAATTTTGCATTATGAAATGACGTTGTTGCAAACATATACATACATATATATGGTATGTACATAGTAGCTCACATACAAGAGCATAAAAGATATACCCTGCAAAAACTTCGACAGGATTCTGCGATGAGTCTGCGATTAGCTGCAAAAGAATACATATGTGACTACTGGTGCTTTCGTAATTTTTATTCTTTTACCGTTTTTATTCAAGCATGTCCTTTGAAGAGGTTCATAACACCTATTTGGATCCGAAAAGAGACTAATCGTTTTACAACTTTAACGGACTAGTTGTCTTCATTAGTTTTAGCAATTTTTATATTTTCAAACTAATCAATCTACAATTATACTGTAAACATATTTGTTTGGGACTACTTGATACCAAACTGGTACGTGTTCGACACTAACTCATTTCAAATTGTACGCTGCAGAGAGTAATCTGGGTGTACTCACTTTAAAGATTACTGTCGTAATTGTTTGTAGGGTATCTATTTTCGACTCCAGATAAAATTTTATGTGCGTGTGTGCCACTGGCACTTGTTTGGGAAATCTGCAACTCTCTTCACCTTTTGTGCACAAACTTCCGCTAGTTGATGTTGCAAAGTTACTCTCTGATCTTTGTACTGTGGAAAAAACTTTTTAAACTCCTGCTCACTTCATGCACTTATGACTACAAACTTATTATTTTCTTATCGCATGTCTTTTAGTTTTGAGTAAAGGATTTACCAAAAAGTTATTAGCATAGTTGTATTGAAAGCTTTTCCGATTTTTTAATGACTGACACTTCGTTACAACTATTATTAATTGTTGTTTCAAAAATATTGTTATGAACAAAGCACAGCATGGTCTGGTAGAAAGGCAATAAGCTTGTCTCATACTCTCTGTTATTTTCTTAACTCATTTCTTAACTGCCAAGGACAAAAGTATACCGATTATAACCAAATTAAGAGATCTCGGTCACATCAACATTATATATATATGTATATCTAAAGTATTTAGATAGTTAAAGAATAAAAGCTTCGTCTAAGTAGCTTTGAATAGGCTTTCATTACCTAACTTAAGTCAACCTTGAGTGCCAACTACTTGAGAGTACTTTTCCCATGTCATATTATTTTTAAAAAAATAAATTTTAATAAGTAATTCTTTCTTAGTTAGTTAGAGGATATTCCTGAGCCAAAACTGCGTACTAACAACGTCCTGGTTTACATTCATATTAATTGTGAAAATTTTTATAATCAGATATAAATTTAGCGGGTAAATACAAAACGTAGCGCATAACTTTGACACTAACATATAGCTCTGACTAAAAGTTACAAAAAGTGCTCTCGCTCTTGTTTAATTTCTCATACCTAAACAATTTCAGTTTTAGATTAATAAATACCTATGAGAAATGGCTGAACTAAAATAGTTGATACGAGTATTTGTTATTTAATAATAAATCTCTCACTCAAAACTGAATAATTTTGACTTAGCCGCTATTAGCAACTCTTATCTATTGGTGTTGCACACTTAGGCTTATAACTTGAATTTCACCCGAACAAGCTTTCCCGAAATTCCTTGTCAACGAGCTATTTGTAAACATTACCAAAAATGCAGCGCTTCCCAAACTTCGCAATATAACAAGATTTTATTCACTTTGTAGCGTGACAAGGTTTACGAACGACTGCATATCTTTTTATTACTCCCAAAAGTGCATTATTAAATACACTAGTAGATGTGTCTACAAATGGTCTTACACCAGCAGTAGCAAAACAGGCTGGAAGCCAACACTTTGCCAAGGAAAAGTTTCGGCACTGAATATACCCCAAAAATTCATAAAAATGTTTACACATTCCTCCTTTCATATAAGTAAGTAAGTACACCCGCTTACAGTGGCGAAAAACACAACAGCATCCGTTAAGAACGGCCACCTACACGACGGCAAGCGCAGGCAGCGTCGCTTACGTTAACAGGTCTCCTACGTATGCCACCACGACGCTCCATTAGATTTTACCGTTGAAACAGCGGTAAAAATATGAAGGAATAACTACGAGCGTATGTGTGTGTGAGCACATATTTTCGCTATAACGGAAGGATGCCGGATGTATGATACAACCTCACTTCGAAAGTTTATAAAGTGCGGTTATGTAGTCGTTGTTGTTTTTGCTGAAAGGCTCAGTTGGTGCTGAGGCTCCTAGTGCCTGACTACGTTTGCTGCGAAACAACAACAACAGCAGCAACTACATATACTCGTACATGAAGGAGGCACCGCGCGGCAGCCGGCAATGTTATCGAAGGTGCATTTCGGCGAAATTTTTGCTTTCCTTTTGAGCTTATGTTGTCGGTGTGCGCGGTTGGAGAACTGGAAAAGGGGTGGAAGGTTTGGTGTTGAAAAGTTTAAAACTCTTTTGTGGTTAAGCATCAGTTTTATCATAAATCCGCAATGATGCCCACCAGCTGGGTGTGCCAGCGTGCAAGTGCCTGTGTGTGAAATTTTAAGAGACGCATGGGGGCCAAATTGTAAGACATAAAGTGAAAAAATGTAATGCGGTTATACTATAAAAGTCTTCACTTCTTTATTTCTTTCTTTTTGTTTTTTTTTTTTTTTTGTTCGGTAACAGCTTCGTGCGTTTTTCGCTGAAATGTTGGGGCAAACATATTGAAGTGTTGATATTTTAAAAGTCAATGTTGATAACTTTTCGCAAACTTTATTTACTGCTGCAGTATAGCGGTGTTTACTTGCATCAAATTTTTTCATACTTTCATTTCAGAGTGATTTTTAACATAACGGCAATTGCGAGCGCTGTCGTCGTGCCAAAGTTGCAAAGTTTGCGTTGTAAAAGTGAATGGGCTTACAATAATCGTTTATTTATTTTCTTCTACAGTGGCGCTGAGTAGAAGTAAAAACTCCGGCGTCATTGAAGGCTCATTTGCTCGTTATATGGAAATATTGTATAAAGGTTGTGTTGATGTGTGTACATGCTCAAGCGAACCCTCAATATCAGCAAACTGTTTAAGAAGAGGGTCCTAGCAGAAATTGTCGTAATATATATTACCTTAAACTTCCAAATCCCATTACAAGGGAAATAGATGAAGTCCGCCGATTTGTGATTCTTGGTAGACTTAAAATCGTAAGGAGAAGACAGTAATGCAAACAAGAAATATGCTGATATGGTTAGATGCAGATTGGTATCTAATATCAATACAGTCAGTGAGGTTTGTTAATTATTGTTATAGCGGCCATACGTTCTTTTTAGATCGCTTAAACCAATCCTCGATAGAGTAGATACAGGCTACCACAGAAAGAAATATAGAAGACAGTTATGCCTCTGTGTGCCTCCTGGAACTAATGGCATTTAGCATATATTTTCTCTCTATTTATCTACATTCATTTATATAGCTGTCTATATTTCCACCTCTTTGAAAGCATATGCTAACTGAACTGAACTAAAAAATATAACTTTACTGTGTAGTCTCGCTTTGAAAATTCGTTCCGAAGACAGTCGAATCTACCCATTCGGGAAGGTGGCGGAATTTTATCCCACCAAGATCTATAAACTCAGTTGAACAGCATGGCATCTCCGTCCATCTCAACCGAATCCTGTTGCCAACTACTAAATACCTGCCTCTGAGTTTTAATTTCCCAGGTCATTGCACAGCTAAGCTCTTGCCACAAACACATAAACATACAATGCACGGCTCAAGTAGAAAAAACTGCCGCAATTCCCAGCGTCGTCATACAGACGACAACAAATTTATCCAGATTTGCAATATATCTTCTTGTTCTCTACTCTTATTTATGGCACATTTTGGCACCACACCATTGTTGTTATTGTCATTGTTGTTTGTATTTCTTTGTTGCATCACCCTAAGTTTCGCGTCATTTGTAAATTACTTAGGATGCAGCATGCAGTCATGTTGCAAATACTTGCGGACTTACATTGCTTCTTTTGTTGTTGCTGTTTTACTTGCTGCACCGACATTTACACCACCCTAACTGTGTAGTGAGAAGAGAAGGTAACTTTTGCATTTTTGTTTTGCCAAAAAGTCGAGCTTTGCAACACTTTGATTTGTCGCTGCTTGCGCCATTTTTCTTGCTGTGCCACTTTTTGGTCGTTTTTCGTTGGGTTTTGCACTGATTTGTGCTGTTTTCTTGTAGCTCGAGGATTTTTCAACAACTTGACGGGTTTGTAGCTTACGAAGATTCTTGCTGTTTTTTTAGTCTTTTTTTTTTGTAATCTATTTGAACTTTTTCACAAACTGCTGCTTGCCACACAGTGTTTTCCTCATCTGTGGCAAGATATTTGCAGGTAAACCGTACGTTTAGCTCGTTTTGGTTTCAATTTTCTAGCGTTGTTGTTGGTAGTAGAGTTGGCGTCACCGTGATTTATTTTTCGAATTTTTTATTTACAAAGTGTTTATATTTACCATATATACTTACATACACATAGTGCTCTTTACCACCGCATTTACACAAGAATATCGTGTTATTCTTTTAAGATTTCTGAACTCACTGTCGATGGTACCAAAACCAGCAGTGGATTGAATATCCAGCCATGTAAGCTTATTATGTGAGGATAAAGTAAGAACTGCTCTCTTACCTCGAACGTCATGAGCCGAAATCGATCTGTTAACTTCGGTCCTTCATATTAGCGATCAACCGAAGAAAATTTGAAAAAAAACCTTGAATAATAAATATTTATGTGGCAAAGGGTTTGTGTTACTAAATACCATCTATGTAACCACAGCGCAAATGGTTGATGGAATGTATTTGATCGCCAAACCTTGACGCAAAGTCTGACCTAAAGTTTGCCCTGATCTTGCACAAGTTGCACACTGACTATCACTGATCACACAGCAGTCTCACTAAATCCCCGATTTCGTAATTCATAATTCTGGCACCACCTAGTGGTAAAATATTGTATCCGAACCTCTCGATTAGAGACTTCAAAGTTGCAATAAACTGTTACTGTTCTTGCTGAGACTATTTCTTATTAAATCTGCGCACGATCCATATATTTTTTGAAACATTCCCCTGCTAGCTTGAGAATCTTAAATTTCTTATATACATTTTTTACCTCTATATTACTTCCTTTAATGCATCGTTTAAGTTTTTCCCACAAAAAGGATGAAAGAAAAGCTTGCTTAGCGTATACGAGCACTAACGACTTCCTCGGGGGCATTGCGCGCTTTTCTCAAGGCGCTCCTTTTCTGTGCGCGCCCTTCGGCGCTCTTGCCAAAGTACGAAAAGCTGCAGGACAACTAAAGCTCCCTCAACATTTCCAACAGCGTAGTGCTCACACTGACACCTGCCTCGCACCTGAGCAACTACATACAAAAAGCAACAACAACAGCATCCATATGCAAATTTATTTTCTTCTTTTTCGGCAATTTGCTTTGGCAGTTTA